TAGGAGAAAAGGGAAAATACGCGAGTAAATACGATGTATTAAATAAAAATCCTTGGGTAGGAAAATTCTTCAGAAAACATTATGAGCTAAAACTATAAGATGCAGGATTTTATATTTTTATTTGTTGGCTTTTTATGAAACATTACGTAACTTGAATTTTCACAATATAGGGTGTTTATAATGTCCCGGACCCATTTTGATGTTTAATAACTCTTAAAATAATAAAGATAGATTGAAATTAATAACATAAATGGTTAGATAGACTCAAAAAGTTTCATGACCCTTGTCAATGAACTTCCACGTGTGCCCCCTTCGTCGCACGGAGAATATCAAGTCGATATTCAATTTCACGCCAGGTACCGGCAAGCATGTCGGCATCCACAGAGGCTATTGCGGTTGTAATTCTGGCTTTTAGGTCATCCATGTTCGACACTCTCCTCCTGTAAACGTTGTCCTTTACAAATCCCCAAAGGAAAAAGTCCAGCGGCGTTATATCAGGTGATCTGGGTGGCCAAGGAATTGGACCTCCTCGCCCAATCCATCTTCCTGTAAAATGGTCATTCAAAGAACTACGAACGATGATACCCCAATGAGGTGCTGCACCATCTTGTTGCAAAAGGACATGTGGCTGAAGCTCTTCTAGTTGTAGAAATACGAGGTTTTCCAACATATCTAAGTATACGACTGATAATACCGTCTTTAATATAAAAAAAGAAAGCCTCCAATGACTCGATCGTGCATTAGTGCACACCACCCATTAACCTTTGGGGAATCCCTTTGTGTCTCACGGTATTCATGGGTTTTTTCAGATCACCATATGCGCACATTATGGCGATTAAAAATGCCAGAAAGATGCCAAAAACAAGAGAGAAAAACGCAATTAATAAGCAGACGATATTTAGAAAAGTACAGATATTTAGACTGGAAAATGAAATTATCTGAAGTAAACCACACGCGCAGACAATATTTACAAAAGTAAAGATATTCAAACCTGAAAAGGAAAATATATAAATTATTCCATCAATAAAATGCCATAAGTTTGGTTTATATCTTTATTATTTTATGAGTTATTAAACATCAAAATGGGTCCGGGACTTTATAAACACCCTGTATTTTTTTCAAAATTTGCTCCCGAAGATTCCATTCAGTTCTGTTTTCCATTGTCGCCGAATCTAGCTTGCAAAAGTGCAAGCTGTATACCGGCTATCTTCAGTTGGTTGCTTCATGAAGCAATGCAGGGACAGAAGTGCTTAAGTGAGTTCTGGAGACAAAATGTAATACATAAAAATACAAATTTTTCTCTAGACAGGAAGACTATGTACACAATATTTACAACCATTTGTTTTGCATAAAATAAGTAATGAGGATGAAGTCAAAATCACGCTATATACGCAGATTCAGCTGAGATCTTGGACAGAACAGATGTGAAAGCACGTTTAAGCGTTAGGTAGGAAAATTTCACTGAGTATGAAAGCCGTAAATGGGCGCAGATGGCGTTCCTCTTGAAGAATCTCATAGCTGAAACGTTCCAAGTTGTTCATTACATTACATTATTGTGCTTCCTGATAGAAGCGTTCATTGAGTTTTCTGAGAAACTTCGCCAAAGGTTCGATCTTAAAGTCGTCGTGAAGATATTTGTTACGTACATAGAAATGAGCGTTTGTAATGATGCAAAAGTATCTGATTTGCACCACTTGAAGTTTTTTGAGATCCTTATTGGATATAATTGTTCATGCCAGCGAAGCGTAAGTCATGACTGGTCTGATAACGTAGAGGTAACTAAGTGTCTTCTTGTTCAGGTCCAGTGAAGAATATTTCCCAATAATTGGGTATAAGCATTTGATTTGGCTTTACTACCACCAAATTGTTCAGGTGAAAGTAAGACCAAAATTGCATGGCAAACCAAAATGGAGTTGTCCTGTGATATATTTTGAAAATCTGCAGCGTAAAATATGTAAAATATCGGTCCTAGGACGAAACCTTGAGGAATACCACTGCGAATATTCTTTTTGCCGGAGTGAGCATCATTTACACAAACATACAAAGCCCTCTTCGTGCTGAAAGAATGTATTGTAAGTAATAGCTCTCTATCAAAGTGACAGGAAATCAATTTTGAGATAAGTCCCTCATGCCAGAAGCAGTCGAAAGCTTTCGCCACGTCTAACATGAGGAGAGCAACACACTATTTATTATGGAGCGCTGAGCCAACAAACTCCGTAATCCGTACTAATTGCTTCATCGTCCAAAGCTTGGGTCGAAACCCAAATTGTTCAGGTAGTAGTAAATTGAGATAAGGTTGCATGCGTTATAAAATAATTCGTTCGTAGACTTTTCTTAGTACTGGTAACAAACTGATCGGCCAATAACCATCAGGTTTAGTAGCTCCCGAAGAATTCTTTTTGTTCCAGTTTAAGCAATATAAAATAAAAATAGAAATGGTGATAATTTTTTTTTTTACCTTGATTATCTTCATGAACCATTCTGTTATTTCAATTCTTGGTGATTTTAACAATAGTGATCTTAACTATTGCTTTCATCAAATAATTATTTTAAATATCTTAAACAATATAAATAAAATTTTAAAATTCTAAATAAAATTACATGGATTTACTGTTGCTTTATTTGTATGTAGTTTCATATAATTTGTATGTAATTTCGCCATTAAATGTATTAATAATGAGCATTTTAGTTTATTAATTCTTTTTATAGATCGGAATTCCAAAACGCGAGCACAGTTACTTGCAGATGTTTGTATAAGAAAGATTAAATTCAAATCTTTATAATGAATTTATTCTGATCTGTGCTCAGTATGTATATGAAATTATTTCTTTCATTGCACAAACTTTGATCTTATCGTAAAAGTAAGTGCAATGATTAAATGTTCCATTGTGTAAATTATTACACTAACGTAAATATAATAAAATGTTGACTGTTATATTATATATCAACTTGTGTTATTGATTACATAAATCCCATTTTTAGAATGGTAGTGATGAGAATAAACGTTAGAAATTATGATCAAGGATTTAACAAATGTCCAAGTACTGAGCTATCAGATTTGAAACATTTGTTAACAAGGAGAATTACCAGTCAAAAAATAAAATTGCGGTAGTCGCACATTTAAGTAACTTTTAATATTCTTGTCTTTTCCAAAAGTTAGCGTAGAAAGGTCAACCCAAAAGTATCTAAAACAGCCCTAGCGACGTCGGCGATCCTCGAAGAATATAGGAGTTGGCATTACAGGGGGATAAAATCATTTCTGAATCTGAAAATCCTGGTCAGTATGGCAGGATAGTTAAAGATGTGTATTGGAGGAAGTTGTGTACCAGGACAGTAAGGGCAGCAGTTATAACTTCTCTGACCATCAGGGGATATTTTCATTCATTTAAAGTGTTTTGTTCTCAGTCTGGCTATGGTAGATGAAATAATTCGGTTGCATTTTAGCTGAGGAGTAGAATTTTTCTTAACTTGTTGGGAGATGAGTCTTCGGCTGACTATTGCATCTGCATCAACAAGGGTTAAACTGTTGTATTGAGTACAATTTTGGGCTTCTTTGGCGAAGTAGTCGGCTTGCTCATTGCCAGAAATATCGACGTGCGGTGGAATCCACGCACGTCGATATTTCTGTCAGTACGGCTTTAGGGACAACTATTATTGTGTTTATTAGCACGCCAATGTCCTGGGCTAGTTAAGAGTTTCCCTTCTGGATGGCCTGGCGCGCAGATTTATAATCAAAAAAATATGATGCTTCTGGAATTTTGAACTGCCTTGGGGTGAAAACTATCCAAAGCATCTAGGTAGCACCCTAGCTACCAGTTTGCAGGTATAATTATGAGAAAATTTCTCCAACAGAAATTTTATGGGATTCATGTTCGCAGTTTTCGTAGATGCTGGCGCCTCCTTTATTGAGGTCGAAGTTAGAAAAAACATCTGCGAGGCAATAACTAAGTTACGGGCTGAGTTTAGCTCATTTATGGTGTGGGCGCCTTTCTCTTTAAGTAGTGAGCTGATTCTTTTTTCGGTGCAAAGTTGTAAGAAATTTAAGTTGATAACTGCCTGTGGAAAGGGACGAATGGAAAGTAGAGGTATTTTAATGATATCAGTAACTTCATGCTCTAAGCCAATTTTTATCCTCATCTCATGGTCCATTTGTAAGGTGCAGAATCATTTTGAGTCTATATTTTCCACTGCATGCTTTTAATGTTTTGTTCGTCAAACAAGTATCGAGGTTTTTAAAATGCAGTTAATATTGAAAGCAAGTAACTGAATAATACTCAATCGCTAAATGTTTAAACATTGTTCTTCAAGATGAATAGAATAGTACAGAAAACTACTGAAATTCGTTGTAGAATTGAAACAATTGAACATAAACATATATATATATATAATTGCGGATTAGGGATTAGTAAGGTTCTCTTTCAATAATGACAACTAATAAACAAGAAGAAATTTACATTATAGATTACTTGAAAAAGTAGAAGTAAAGCAAATTCTCCTTAAAATGTGAGGAATATCGCAGACCATCAAAATCAAAGACGTATATAAGGCTGTCCAACACTTCTGGAAAATTCATGAAAAATCGTCCATGAGGCTTCGAAAATGCGTTTTCTAAAAATTTTCAGAATGTCGTGGAAGACAGCAAATGTAACCAACCTTGAAGAACAAAATTTGTCATTAAGAGCCTGTCAGGAGAGTTTCTGTCCATATCTCAATTTCAACAAAAAAATTAAATTTCGCGCACAATCGACACAAGTGCCAGTGTACGCTAAAACCACCAAGTTAATCTTAGAGACTTGTAACCTAGATCTGTCATTTTTCCGTTGATAAAAAATTTTAAATACGTACTTTTTTAAAAGCTTTTAAAATTTGTTAAATTACTGTACTGTTACGTTTGTTAAATTCCAATTCTTCTTAATTTTCTTTAAATTTTAGTCATGATAAGCGTAAACATTATCTGAATTATAGAATGGAATTTCATACTTGATATATTTTTGTTACAGGTCAAATTTTATCACTGTACACTTGGGGAGGTGTTATGTTTGTAAGCAGTTCTCAAGACAAAACCATTAGGTTCTGGGACATGAGATCAAGAGGATGTGTAAATCTTATTCCTGCACGACCATCGGGTGGCACAGGACCAGGTAAATGAATATTTTTTATGTACTATGTTTATAAACATTTCGTCTGATCTCAAAATGTGATCTTTTGTTTAAATGTAATTATTCGGTATTAAATTAACTTGAAACAGGATATCTTCATTCCATATGTAATTTAAATTAGGTTTACCACCTACTTCCAAGAAATCGATTAGTTAAATAATGGAATCAGGGACTCAAAAATCGCTCATGCTTTCGAATGCTTTATCAATTCAATATTGTTCTCAGATACTTGTTAGGTCCAAGGAGGTTAGAATAGAAGGAGGGAAGGTTCAACTCAAAATGTGAAACTTGGCGGCCATGTTCCTGTTATCGCTGTGACTTGTGCAAGGAAGTCTGTAATAGCAATTTTTTTTTTTTTTTTCCCTTTTCTTTTCTTTTTGAAGCATGTCAGCTTGTGTTGCATATGGATGCACAAATAGATTTTCGAAAAATATTCCTAAGATTACTTTTCATTCGTAAGTATTGATTTTCTTTTTCTATGTAATTTGATAAATATGTTAAAAAATATCACAATGTCACGTTGTTTTCTTTCCAGATATGAAAAAGAAGTATTTAATAATAATCAAAATACCTTAAATAATTTTAATGTTCCTTTTTATAGCTGGTACCTTCGTTCCTTAACATACAATGATATATGCTAGGATTTAAACTCTATAATTTGAACGTTTTAAGTAATTTGTTTTATAATTTTCATTAAAAGTAAGAAATCAATTGCTACTATTTTTATGAATTGTAAAGGTGTTAAATAAAATAATACTTTTCTTTATGTATTAATTATTATTCATTTTTAAGTTTCGTGAACTGTTAGGAATATAATTTGTGCATTTGATCAAGATAAACTAACTGTTCTGTTGTTAAAATTTTCTTGCAAATTTGTGAGCAGTATAGCGATAAAATTAAGTAAAATATTTACACAACTGAACATGTGGAAAGATGCATCCAAAATTTATATAGTTATAGCTTAATTTAAGGCAATTTCTTTGAGATTCATAAATATGAAAAGCGCGTAAACTGAAATCACTGAATTCACATAAATCTGTTTTATTTTATTAATATTTATTTTATTGTTGTTATAAGGTTGTTGGTTGTGAAACGAATCTATTTGAAACTTTCATTAAAAAAAAAAAAAAAAAAAAAAAAAAAAAAGCAGCCTGTGACTATTTTTTTAGATAAATATCTGCTATTAATTTCAGGTTAAAATTACTTTAATAAATTATAAAATGCTGAATATCACTTATTAAAGGAAAAATTGGAAAGTACACCCAACAGGTTGCTAATAAAACCTAAACAAATTCTGGAAATATGCAGAAACATCATTTTCAAAGGCTTTAATGTTGTGCACATGCATTTAGACTTCGAACTATTTCTTAATGATTTTCTGTACGTAGTAAATTAAACGGAACAGCTTAAAAAACACGTACGTTTCACTGCAATGTTTTGAAGTTACAAACATGGACGCCGCTTGTTCGGTGGTTTCATTTCCCGATAGTGGAGGAAACTGCGAACCCTCCCTCCTTCTATTCTAACCTCTTTGGTTAGGTCCCAATCACATTATATTTCGGCTACACGGGAGTTGACGTCGAAAGGGACAATTCTCAGAACCCGCACAATTGCAGGAAACACACGTAGCTAGGTTACCTTTTTCACTTACTACAAAGACTTGTAATCGATTATCGCTCAAATCAGGATCACGTGATCCTTCAGAAGCAGAACTTTCGTCTGAGTAAATATGCATTGGTAAAGGATCAAGGAAGTGCAATTTACGGAGTTCATAGGCAATTACGCCTTTACCTCCACATCTTCAAAGGAATTTACATCATCAAAAAGAGGAGATTGTCTAATAGGGTAAAAATTTTGAGAAGCCGAATGACTTGGAATAAGTGCCTTCACACTGAGTCAAAAAAAAGGCAAAAAACTCAGAAGGTCTTAATTTTGCGCCGAAAAAGGGCCAGAATAATTTAGATAGGGGCAGCCATAATAAATTTTGACTAGAAAAATAAAAGGTGAAGTTTCCTTGAACCTTGATAATCATGTTTTGCATACGTCAGAAGCGAAGAATACGCAGGGGAATTTCCGATGCGCGTTCTTCAGGGGTGGGAAGGGAGGGGGGAACCTGTTTACAGGTCGAAAAAGTAGTTCTGCCAGTGATCAGCTGGGAGGGAGAAGTTTCGTTTTTGACCGCTATTCAATGCGGTATTTAAAGGCCTAAAATGACGCTGTTAAACGCCTGAGAAAGTTCCTTTTTAAAGGAAGAAAAGAGCAGTATTTAAAAATCTTTTTCAGTTTAAGTCAATTCAAAAGTTAGAAAATATTTTAAATCAGTCCTTTTAGACTGTGATGTTTCTTATTAAAGAAACGTTAAAGGGGGTTCCTCGAGTTAATGCTGTGTGCATTAAAGAACTTTAGAGGCGGGGGGGGGGGGGGTTAAGGAACGAGAGGTAGTTATTCACGTGGCTGTCAGTGTGCTCATATCTAGCCCGTTTAAATGGGAGTATAGAAGGAAGAGCTGAATATTCCTGGTTGAGAACCGCTCTGGGTCTTTTCCGGGAAGAAGCAACAGCAGGATCGTATACGGGTAGCATATGAAGCACAGGATTAGCAACATGTTGAATATTTTTGAAAAATTTTTCCGAAAGTCGCTGTATATAGCGATTAATGGGCATAATTTTGAGGTCATTATGAATCTTTTCGTTCCTTACGAACCACGGAGCTTTTAATATTTGCCGAAGCATTTTGGATTGAAAAATTTTAACATGTTTTCTGTTAGTCAGTGCAGATGAGACACGCATATGTAAGAACAGGCCTTATCATAGATTTGTAGAGCAGGATTTTGTTATCGAGTGACAGGTCGCTGTTTACAGCGAAAAAGGGGCGTAGGGCGGTTTTGACAGCTGTTGCACTCGCTATGATTTTGCGAATGTGAGGCTGCCAAGCATTGGTAAAGGTCCTTTTTAGGGCCGAATACCAATCACCGAGGATAAGGATACAGATACAGATACAGATCGTCTGATCGGTTGTCTCTACCCGGGACGCGAGACATTTTTCGGTGAGGTTTAAAAAAATTCCGCGTAGCTGTAACTTCCGTAACTAGGCGGGATTTCGCTTCAGGCGGGGCTCTTTTTTTTTCTAGGAATCCACCAGTTTAAACCAGTGCTACGAGAATCTCGTTTCTCAGAAAAGTCCCGTCCCGGGACTGTAGCCATGTGTGATAACCTCTTTAGTCTATAGCATGGGTTCTCCATCTTTTTTGCTTCATGCACCCCTTTCACCATTGATCACCCCCCCCTCCTTTTCAAAGCTCGAAAAATAAATATATACATTTATTTATCTGGATTTAGAGACTTTTAAACGTGTTTTATAAATTAAAGAATAAAAAGTCGAAAATTGGAGAAAAATACCAAAACTTGAATAAAAGTTGTTTTTTATACCCATGAAACTAAAACTAAGTATTTAACAGTTAAATAAAAAGCTGACTCCATTCTCTGCCCCAAAACTACAAAATTCTTTCTTGGTTGAAAATCTTTAGTCTACAGAGTAAATTTAGAGTTAAAAAGCATCGTTGCACTCACTATTCAATAAAAATAAAAGGAATTAATAAAAAAAATTTTTGAAATACTGAAAAAATTGCCTCAATTTTATTAAAGCGAATTTTAAAGTAAGAGGTAAAAACGACATATAAGACTTTAGTTGCAGCAATCTGAACTCCATCCAAGCCAAAAATTCATTGAATTACAGCCATTAATGACTTCTCACATTTTTTTTACTTCTTGTACGAAGTATTCTTGATTCTTCTATGTTTCTCTTCTTTGTACGAAGTAAAAAGGAAGTATTGTAATCACGAAAAATTTCCGGTATCATATTTCAACGAAAATATCCATTTTTACGGCTATCGAATGCAATTTAACGACGTTTTTGCGTGACATCTGCACGTAAGGACAGAATAAAGGATTCTTTTCCGCCCACAAAATTATAAAACTGATTTAAAATGAATTCTGAATTTTCCGTGGCGTCTGTGCGTACGTATATACTATCTCGCATAACTCAAAAATTAGTAACTTCAGAACGTTGAAATTTTGTATGTAGGACTGCTATAGCATGTAGATATGCACCTCGCATTTTAGTTGCAATCGGCCGCACCAGAAGTATCTGTATATATATATGTGTGTGTGTGTGCGTGTATTCACTTTCTTACTCGACTCAGTGAGCTCAGTTTCTTGATTCTTCTATGTTTGTAAATTGTGCATTTTTTGCTTTAAAAAATTATTGGATTATGTTGTTCTGGTTAATATTTTTATGCCTTTAGTTAAACTGCATGCAATAATTGTGGAAATATGGAAATATCAACAATAGAAAAGTTTTTTAAGTGTGGCTAAGCTTACGTTTTTTTATAACCATGGCGGTCATGCTTGTTTACATTTGAAACCTAACAGAATAGTGAATTTGTTGCCAATCTAGGGAAACTAAGCTTCGCAACAAAAAGATAACGCCGTCATTTATTATTGCGAATTAAATCATGCTTAATCCGTTCTGGAATTTATTCGAGGAAATAAGTGTTTAAGATTTAATTCGTTATTTTGAGTTTTTATGTATTTTTGCCTTATCATGAAGTGAGAACTGCATTAATTGAATGAGAAATACTGAATCGTCTGTGAAAAACTGTTTCTTTTTTGTTTTGTTTGTTTAATTTCTTTTATACATCGTTGTGAATTTATTACAGTATTTGAATAGAACATGTGGCAACGATTAAATAATTCTTCAGATAATATAAATTTTGTTCATTTTGAGTTATAAAATGAATTAAATGTAACGCTGTTACATTTAATTCATGATTAACATTATCATTAACGCTGTTACATTAATTAAGTGAACCTAGCGCCAGATTGTCGCTATGGTAAACAAATATAAAGAGTGCATTTATTGTACTGTGGTTTATGCTCTGTCTACGAAGTAGTTTGAATTCAGTCCAATATGTTTAAATGAAATATAAGAACAAAGGCGTATAATTTAATATTCCGTACAAGAAAGTCATGTGGTATACACATCAGATCTTTTTAATTGCGTAATGGCAAGATCCTGAAACACTTATTTATATTGCCCTAAAAATTACTTTTAAGTATAATTTGGAAATAATATTTATAGCTAAAATTATTTAAAAATTATTACTTCTAAGGGGGTGGAACATTGTGTTGTTATTATCGAAAGAAAAATGTTGTTGTTCTAATAAATAAATTTGCATAACAATAACCATTTTTTCGGCTTCATATGAAAATGACATATCATTTATTAATAATCTGTAAAATGAATAATTTTGAAATAATACTAAGCATTTTTCGATTCTGTCTTGCAAGGTAGTGCAGCAGCGGCAGTGTCTGTGGACCCATCAGGCAGATTACTAGTATCTGGCCACGAAGACGCCAGCTGCATGCTGTACGATATGAAGGGCAGCCGGATTTTGCAAACATTCAAGCCACATACTGCAGATGTGCGAACAGCCCGCTTATCTCCTAAAGCGTTCTATCTGTTGACAGGATCCTACGACTGTAAATTGATGCTCACAGATCTTCAAGGTACAGAGTATTTTATTTAATATTATCCCTCTCTCTTCTATTTATAAAATGCATCTTGCATTCTTTTAATTTTTCACATGATGACTACAGGGCATGTCAAAACTCCGCGTTTTTCTGGAGGTATAAAATATCGATATGAACGATATTCACATAGAAAAGCAACAGTGGACATGCCACCTGTAAGAGATAGAAGATACAGCAAAGATACAATGCAGAAATCAACTTAACGAGTACTGTTTCACAGTAGCTGTTCGAATGCGGATCACGCGCAGTGATGCATGCTTAACATGGACGCCGCATGGATTGTCGAATACCGTTTTGTTGAATACCTTTCCTGATGCATTCTTACAGCGGCGGCCGACCGGTGAAATCGCTGAACACCTGTAATTCGGTCCAGTGTTCGAATCCCGGCGAACGGACTGACTTCATGGGCGTTTGCGTGTTTTTCCCCATGTGTAACGTGTATACGAGCAAGTTTCTCTTAGCAGCTCTTCCACGAAGGCTGTAGAGTCATTAAAAATGAGCTATGCCCTCGCTGGGATTCAACCTGGACCTTTCGAATACGCGCCGAGTGTGCTAACCATTACACCAGGAAGGCATGCAAAATGGATGGAGAATACTCCCCCTTTTTAAAGGCGACTGGGGATTAGGAAACCCAGTCTCGAAATCTTGATGGTGAATAATCATCATTCACCACTTTTTAATTCGGGCGCTACTATACAGTCATTAGGGTTTTGAAGTAAGAATCATGAGCAGTGCCCTTCCCGGGACTCAACTTAGATCTCTCAAATACGCGCCGATTGTGTTAACCATTACACCGCGAAGGCATGCTGAAAGGAGGGAGTGTGCTCCCATTAAGCAGATATCTCTCGAGTTCTTTGCCATAGCTAAATAAACAAAACAAAACCTTACAGCGGCAAGAAGACATAACCCATACAATAAGTGCATATTCGCCAACTCAGTATTCATAAAAGCGATAAAAAAAAAGCAGCTTTGAAATAAACATAATGCTAAATCACACACATTATTATATATATATATATATATATTTTAAAATTTGGTGTTAAACAAAATACTGTTTGTGAAAATATAGGATACACCCCTGCACCAGAAATATACGTATATATTTGGAGCCATGCTGCTAGGAAAAGTATTTTAAATCTTGCATGGTGCATCTTCATTTAATAATATAAAGAATCTGTATGTATTTTGTATACGTATGTATATATGAATGTTCTTCGCATTGTGTGAAAAGGATCACAAATTTTAAGCACTTACAGCCCGAACATGGGCACATCTAAGCGAGAATTTTTTAATTTAGAATTCTTTACTTAGTTTATATTCTGTTCTCATTTGAGGAATTAACAAATAATTAATGAATTTGACGAACTTAGCGATTTAAAGGCAATATGTTGCCACTACTCGAAATAAATGTTTGATTTCTTCGCCAGTGTTTCATTCAGAAAGTTTAAGTTATTTGTCTTTCAGCCTTTAATAAATCAACAGACATAGCCATAGGTATTTAAAAGCAATGTGTTGCCATTGCCAGAAATAAAATATTTTTATCTCGTGCGCAACAGTGCGTTGCTTTTCGAACCAGCATTACGTATTTAACTTCTATATTTAATCTTTCTGTTACTGATTAACAAACTAAGCCATTTAAAAACAAGATTTCAAAATAAGATTTTTTTTTACTTTTCAATCTTATTAAGTTAAATTAAAAAGGCATTTAATTATCTTGCGTAGCTGAATTTGTGCTTAATTCATAAGGAAGTTCTTCATTATTCAATTTGTTTAAACCGTTTAGTCTACCTTGTAATAGTATCGTTTTAAACTTCTTTTTATTTTATTTTATTTGTTATCTTTTTCGTGATGTTTTGAGATAAATTCGTAAAGCAGTGTTGCATAGGTAGAAAGAAAAAAGGAACTTTATTATCGAAATAAATGCATATATGACTGCTGCTACAGAACGACCATTGTGTCCTCTATTATTGAACTCTTCTGTAATAATAGAAAAAAAATTTAAAAAAAAAAAAAAAAATCTGCAGGTTTCAAATTTTAAATTACGTCCAAAGGGGCATTTTTTAAACGTTTTGTGTGTTACCTTTGTTTATTAAATATCATGTTCTTTGCACTTAAACCATAAAATTCAGTTCAATAGCAATGTCGTAAAATAATTTTAATGAGCCTATCTTTAAGAATTTCCGATACACAGTTCCGCGCGCTGGAAATAAAAAGGGCTTTTTTTCGCGTAGAGTGTTGCCATTGCTCGCTTTGAAATCCTTGAGTTTGTTAATCAAAAATTCGTTAAAGTTTTACAAAATATGAAATCGATAATAAAACAAATTTCAAATTTGATCTTTCACATGCCCATATTCGTAGGAGGATTACGTCATTCAAAATTCGATGGCTCTATGTACCGTTGTTTTAACACAATGCGAGAAATATGCATACATTTATGCAGATTTTTCATTATTTAAATTCTTCAAATATAATGCAGGACTCTAACATTTTGATGGCAACAGTTTAAAAAGTGAAACGGACATTTATAGTGATTCAACGCAAAATCACAAAACGAAAACAATAGTCCTTCAGGGACAAAGCCCCTTTGGACTAAAAACGAAATTAAGTAGTTTTTTATTAGAAAAAGCGAAGTATACTGCCAAAGCACACTGCCATCTTCTGAATTACGTGACATCTGGATATGACATCGACAAAGCCCCTTTGGACTAATAAATCAACTGATATTTTAGCTAATGTCAGTATGGCCCCAACATGTATAAGAAAAATAGAATAGCTTGCTAAATATAATATAAATATAGTTGAGAGACTCTGAAGGAAAAAAACGGTTGACCATATTTCCTATTCCGAACCTATTTATTGAATATAAGATTCTTTTGTTCACTGAAAACTAAAATGTTTAAAAACATTTTTACCTACCAGGCATTTTCGCAGCGCAGTTAAAAGTAGCTGCTATATTACAAAATTGTACAAGAAGCTACAATATTACGCCGCCCAGCCGGTATAGTGGTTAGTGACTTTGACTGCCGTACCGAAGTGCCCGGTTTCGAATCCCGGAGAAGGCGGGGATGTAAATGTATAGTGTCTGTGCGGCATGGGGACACAAAGTCGGGTTGTCACCTATATGGTGCTCTTGTTAACGAGAGACGCATTTGACTCCTTGCCACAATGAATGTTGTAGGCTTGTGCTGACTATTGGCAGACAAGTGAGATTGGTAACAACAACATATTCACTACACCGCTCATGGTATATATTTTCTACTGCATCTATGTCTAGAATGGTTGGACTGAAATGATTTATTAAATTAATGTAATAATAAAAACAATACTTTTGATTTATTATTAAAATCATTAAGTATTTTTATGAAATTATACAAGCTAGCACAACTTGAAGTGGGATCATTAAAATAATTATATATATATATATATATATATATTTATAAACAGCTGGTTTAGGTTACCTAGTTAAATTATACGATATTATATTTTTATAATAATTATTTTAATTGGCAAGCGGTTAATATTTGAAGTGATTAGTCCCTTACATTTCAAATCATTTCAAATTCAAAAGTTTCAATAATATAGTACATATGTGAGTAATAATTTTTTAAATGATCCCCTGAGCAGAACTTATATTTAAATAAAAATAGATTCGTAAAAATAGTTGTGTACAAAAAGTTGTTTTATACTTTGCATTACCTTTGTATTTGTAAATCTGCTTAGTATGTTTTCAGTCTACATAATTCTATATCTGGATGTTCAGTTGTGCCTTGAAATATTGATGCTGTATAATCAATCGTGAATTAGACCACAGAAGTTTGACTTATCTAACGAATGCTTACAGATGATCTTGTATATTTCTCACTTCCTTTTCTTATTTCTCAGGTGATTTAACTCAAACTCTTGCAACAGTTTGTGTGGCCGAGCATTCTGATAAGGTCATTCAAGGAAGATGGCATCCTCATGAATTCACATTCCTTTCAACCAGCGCAGATAAAATGGCAACACTCTGGGCATTACCAGCTACCTAACTTCTGTGAAGGCTGTGCTCACTCCTCGAGAGATACAAGAGAAGTTCCAAGCGCCATTTTGTTTCTAATTCCACATTCTCAAAAATTGTGATCATGATTTGTTTCAAATGTCAAATCTTGTCTATTCTATTGTATGACAATTAAGTGTCTCATTTTGCGAGAACATTTCAGCAGTAGATTTTAGAGTGTGCTTGAAGATATTGTCAGTCGTTCACTTAAGTGAACGACTGTTTGCAATTATTTTCATTTCCTTCCACTAATTTACTAAATTTGAATTATTAGTTGTAAGAAACTTGATCTTGTTGGATTTTAAAACAAAAATGTTCAATTAATCGAATAGATTTTACGTCCTCACAAATTTTTATTTTATTTTATTATTCTTTGGAAAAGATTGCCTATGCGCAAAATAAGTACTTGATGTGTTTTTATGGCGAGGCCTTTTTTAATAAGAAATAAATTCTTTTGATGTAATATTTTTAAATTAACTGAAAATTTTATAAAACTATAAAAAACGAAAAATTTTTAAACAATTCATTGTAACAAATATTAAAGAGCTTTTATATTTAGTTTTTAATATATTTTATAAATTAGAATTGCAGTTGTTTTTACAGTGTAAGATTTGAATCTTGATAATAAATAAGTGAAACTTAAATAAATATTAGAAAATTTTTTATATTCCTTTAATATTCCGACATTTGTTGCATTAGTTTTCAGAACAATTTCAAAATGAAATTGTATTTTTTGAAAACCTTTATATTTAACATAACTCTAAAATCTGTAATGTTAGAAGTCATTCATAAAAAATAAATTACGTAACACATTGTTCAGATATCATAGATCATACATGAATGTTATTCCCGTGATCAGAACACAGATACACATTTTAATTATACCATCATTTCTGCATGTACTTTTTTTTTCTTTCAGGAACATTTAGTTGAACACTTCAGTCCCAATAATCACTTAATATTTTGAAGTTACTAATGTTGATTAATTCCTAATAAATATAAATTTTAATTTCCTTTGGAATATAAATATTTAACTCTTAAAAAATTGTCATTTCAACAGGTATTCAAATCTACTGCATAACTTTGATACTGTATTCCTTAAAATGTTAAATAACTGTGGCTTAACATGATCATATGGTAATCCAAAATTATTCTTCAGACAAAATTATATAGATATGGTGTACGGAGTATAATATGTATTAAAGGAATCTTCGATATATTATCTGTAACAGAATTCAACATCGCCTATTTGAATAAAAATTAAAAATTTGATATGCAAGAAAACACATTGTGCATGCATGCATACGATATCCTTGGATATAAAGCACCGATTAAAGATGCCAATTTTTTTAAATTATTATTTTCAGTATTCAAAAATGTATATGTAGTAATTAAGAAATATTTGAATTCACAGTATGACTGTATGTATTTAAATTATTTGTATTATGCATAGTTACATTTTTTGTTGAACTATATTTCTTTGCGTTGTATTTTTTCACATGCAATTTTCGAAACTACCAAGATTCCTAATGCTGCATAATCTTTAAAAAAGATTGCAATAATCTAAGTGCATGAAGTGATATAATTGGTCTCTTTATAGTGACAAAAAGTGAAGTAAATGCATGGAAGAAAATGATTATAAAATTGTATTAACCGATGCAAATAAGAGAAGGCTTGCCTGTGATTTTAAAATGTTACACACATTACAGTAAGAAAACATTTTGTAGTTACCATTTTGTATCATTTTATGTTGCATTTCTAATAAATGTTATTAACTGATGCTCTGCTTTATTCGAATGTAAGTTTGTACACATTTTTGAAGACTATAAAATATTGGAAATGGAATCAGCTTGAGTTAATCATTAACACACTAGTAACGTGGTTACTTGATTAAACCAGCAATTCCCAATCATTTTCTTGCATCGATCCCCTGACATTTGCTCTACAATATACAGCATACAACATAATCGTAATGAAAATAACTGCACATAAGTAACTTATCCATAATAATTAAAATAAAAATATGAACAAAAGATTTTTAAAATATTCGTTTATTAGATTTATGTTTTATTGTTTTTGTGTTATTATTTTTAATTTTACAAATATAAACAAGTTTTTAGAAGTAAAATCACAGATTCTATATAAGTTCGATTTTAATTAATGTGATAGCTGCGCTTGGTGTATTGGCGCAATGTATTTAGTATAAAATTGCTTAACTTAATTTTTAAATGACATCGTTTAAAAACATTAAACCCCCGTTTCTTGTTTTTGGTAGTAAATAATTGGCTTGACTAAAGGCTATGACAGTCATGAGATTGAAAAGTCAATAATGTTGGTTCGATAACAACTTTCGTTTCAGGATTTTTCTGTCAGATGATTTTTAAATTCCAAAATTTAGCATGCCCTGTGTTTTTAATAATACGTATGTTTGAACACCCTCCTTCAATGCGATCTACTTGTCCTGCATCATAATATCAAAATCAGATATATCGCAGCCATGCTGGCACATTTAAATGTTTTCTGTGTCTTCTGCAAGTGGCTTTATATATTCCGAGAAAATACAATTTTTTTAATATTGTCCAATTGCATTTAATTATTTAGCTATCAGTTTTAACGATATTAAGTTAACAAACGTAATGAAACTCTTTTTGAATCAATGTCGATATGAAGAAGTCAGTTTTAGAACATAAAGATAAGACTGTTATCTTTTCCTTGCAATTTGTCTTGAGTGGCGTTGAACAATGAATATACCTATCAGTTAAGTAGAAAGTTCTTTTTATAATTTTATTAATTGTATTGCCATAGGGTTGTCGTAGCATTTTTTAATCAATGCCATTTTGAATGTGCCGGTGCATATTCAGTTACCGATTTTCTTTTGACCCCTTGATCATCATTAACCCCTTTAAAACTTCATCGACCCCCAGGGTAATGCCGAACTCGTTGAGAACCCCTGGATTACGAATATTCTTTCCTGTGTATACAGTTAAGAAGTGTTGGACTGTAATTGTATGTACCATGTGCGTCTGCAAAGGAGGAACTCTCTAAGCTCTAAGGGAGTAAAATAAATTCCATCAAATTTGCCAGACGATAATTGACAACATTTATTACTATGATATCTAACTTGCTTTTGCTAAAATAGCTTCTGCTAAATATTTTCAATGCAGTTAATCGCTTGCTTCGATCCAGTGAACATCTGCAATCATAGATTGAAAAATCGAAAAAAGACAGCAATATAGTTTCGCTGCAAAACGGGCATTAATTCTGATTTTTTTTCAAACAAATTGTGACTGCAGATGAAACTTGGTGCTTATCTTATGTGCCTAAGAGAAAACGGCAATCATCTTCTTGGGCTGGAGAAGGCCATCACGGCAACAGAAACTTCTGTCACGGAGATCTTGATTAAAGATTACGATGATGACAACTTTTGATTGGAAAGAGATAATTAATAAGGAATTTGTTCCTTATTAATTATCTCTTAACGAGGAACAGACGATGCTCTCCATATTTTACAAAGCCATAATGGACACGCTTAATAACTGGGTTTTGCTTAACTTTCCTATTCTTATTCTCGAAGCTGCAAATTTGGATTGTGATTATACGTACATGATCTTCAAGGCCTTTTTCTGTCTACAGATAACCGATGTATTTGGAAAGGGAATACACACACGTGATCTTCAGGGTAGGACATTTATGCATCATGCCTCAGAGATGACAATGACTGTAAATAAATTAAAACTTATTAATCAATTCCTTTGTTTACTGTTTTATCTATATGCATCGCAACTTTTTTAACCCATTAAAGAAGGAATATAAACATAACATTATCTACCTTTTTTCTTTAAATTTAATTTTTTCCCAGCCTTTAGTTGCCTATTTATGCTTTCGAGAATTACCTTATATTTCTTTTTAAAATCCAAGAATTAAAAAAAGAAAAAAAAAAAAATTTGATGATCGTCTATATGCTATTTTTTGTTTGGTGGTCCACTTACATGCGAATTTAAGATGGCTTACAAATAAATTTAAAAAATAATAATTATCAGTGGGAATCAGCGCAACGTTATTTTGAGTCTTGCTGATAATTATTACTTTTAACATTTATTCTTTAACGTTTTTTTATTATAATTAGGAATATAAATAATTCGATAACAAAGATGAACATATGGAAAAATTATTAATAATTAAAATTAATCCTAATGCACGTTAATTAAAATTTTCAATAGCTGACTTGGAATTTTATAGCAATTCTCAGAAGTCTCTAACTACTACAGACAAGTCTCATTGAATGATATCACCCTCCATTTCAGCATTATCATCGTTTTCACCCACCTCGTAAATATATCCATCTTCAGGTTCGCCCGTAGGGCCATTCAAAAAACAGAAGTGATTATTTTCAGTTTTATACTTGCAGAACACGCAGATCGTTTTAATACTCGTACCCTTATTTTAAGCATGGAAGGTGAAGCTAAAAGACACTTACCCACTCTTCATTTGATAAGTTTAGCTAAGTTAAACAATCAGTTATTCGCACGACATGCCAGATCCTTTAATAGCCCAAACAGCAAATAATGCTGACCAGATAATAGCAATGTATATATATAGTTATAAACCGTATACAACAGGCCAGTAACAATCCTCAATTCAGTCTAAGTATCACGTCAAAATTGTACGAACTCTATAGCATACAAAAAGCAAATGCTGCTTTCACGGTTGTATACCCACTTATTGGACTTTTATCATCAATACTGGATCTGCGTGTCAAAAGGACTGTTTATGCAATTAATTCTTCCTGTTCTTTTATATTCAAATTCTATATGGGCAACGAACAGCCCTCAAATCATATGGAAGAAAACTTTATGTCTTTTAAATTTTGGTGCTTAGATTCATCACCAACGCACCATAGTTAGTAACAAATGCATAAATAACCCGATATTCAGTATGTTCAAGAATTCATTCTTACCACTGTGAAAAAAAACTGTATGCATTCTTGCCACTGCTCACAATTTTTTTCCTCGAATTTAATATTCTGAATATGTACATATTGCTATGCTTGCCAGCTGTGATCGTACTGTGGAACATCCTTATAAACGTCCCCGGACAATTCATTACCATAGTGCTTACTAGCCATTTCGCTGTGTAACACTGTATACATTTGTAATTATTGTTTTTAGTGTTCATTTTCTTTTCATCTTATATTATCTATTATTTCGCTGCCTTTATTGACAATAATTTCACGCCAAGAACTCTCTCCAGTATTCTACTTTTCAAGGACCTTTTTATATCTATCTCATGCTTCTGCTGCAACCTCAGTGGCATTCTATTCTTTATCATTCTACTCGAACAGCTTCCATTCCTCGTCTGTATGACCACGCACATGGGCTTATTTTGTAATAAATGCCAATGACCTCAGATCTTTACAACTATAGGTAAGATCCCCAAGTGGTTGTTAATCCTGAAGAATAATCATAGTTTACGGTTTACTTTTTAATTTCGCCTTATACACGGATTTTCAGTTTTGATTGAATTTTTGCATCAAAATCTTATCTATGGTTTATACATGAATGCGCTTTTGGAAACGTAAAGCAATTATTTCTTTAGCCTTGAAATAAACTAAGCCTGAATGTGCACAATATTAATAACCATAAGTTTTACCAGTCAACAGATCTATTGACTTGCTTTCCACTGGTTAGAGCCGTGTTTCTCAACGTGGGTCCCACGCCCCACAAGGGGGCAATGCGACTGTTAAGGGGGGAAATTCGAAAATGGACTCATGCAGAGTTTAAGGGGACAAAGGACTTTCCAAATATGTTTCATGAAGTCAAAATTTTTCGAAATTTCATTTTTTATTCCCCAAAATAAAAAAAAAAAAATGTAAGTGATGTATACGTAAAAAAGTTTTTAAATTGCGGTGCATTTTAAATATTTTATAAAGAATTCTCGCTGTAGAATGGCATTTAAATGCTTTTAAATGTATTTAAATAACTGACACATTATGCTTTCCAGACGTTTCTCGCACATTTCAGCCAACAAATTTACTTTATTTTTTACTGTAGGAATCCAACCGGTATATTATTCTTTCCTTGAATGGCAACAGTAGCTGCTTTCAGCTTTGTTTATATAGATCTTATATTTATTTCTTTCAGCCCTTAGTGAAATGAGGGGTGCAAGCAAGAAAAAACGTCCGTCAATATTCGGAGGCATATTTAAAATTTGGTTTCATTCCCGGTCCATAAACGGTCGACTTTTGTCCTTTTATGCCAATAATGCCTGTCCAGCAAATCAATGAAACTAGGTCGTCTTGAGCACATTTGAAGGCAAAACATAATACTGATATTAATTCAGATTTGAATTATTTTCACACTTTAAGGAAAATTTTTGAAAAAAGAGTAATATTAAAGTGTTTATTTACTGCTCATAATGCAACTGTTAATCGTGCTCTTGAGGCTATTTATCAAATTTCATTACTCATCGCTTAATCTGGGAAAAGCCGTACTATAGGGGAGAATTTAATAAACAATAATAAACAATAAACAACTTCAAGGAGCCAAATAAAACTTATGATGCAAAAGGAAGATATTTGGTTTCATTATCTTTGTTGAATTATGTCAGGCATATACTATTTACCACAAAAAGTTTGAAAAGTCTCATTGGCTCCAAAAATGTGACGCGACTACCACTATACTTGTTATTGTCGATCATCTGAAAATTTCATCGGCTGATTTAAAAGATTTTGTAACTTAAAACAAATTGATTTTCCAACTTGGATGATGCAGCCAATGCTAG